ACGTTACATTGAGGGATTGTACTATAACTTCAGCAGGGGGAGGATAGGTTGGACATATGTCAGGTTATTTTGTACGGCCACACCAAGTAATTGCTATGGATGACGTCCACTGGAGACCTTAAATCTAATTACCTTAAATTTAAGGCAAGCGCGCAATAAAAACACGAAGGGCCGAAAAACGAGATGCCTAGATTTGGAATATACTAACTGTAGAAGTACAAATGTTAGGACACAAAGAACACAAGAAACAAGTCTTCTATTTGTCATAAAGACAAATTAACAAAACAGCAGAAGTCACCCTGTTCTGATTCATTCCTTTATAACATCTTCTCTTATTATATTTTGCGGCGCTGTCATGACACTTTTCAACACAGTAAGAATTTCTTTAACGTTTTTTTTCCAGTAACAGTCCAAACTCAAATAACGTGGGGGGGGGGCGCGTAACACGGGTGACGACGCATCTGTATAATCTGCGGCAACAGGGGTGGGAAAGAATTCATACGAATTTTACGGAATACATACGAATTTTACGGAATTCATACGAATTTTACGGAATTCATACGATCCACTACTCGGAAACATACGAATTTTACGGAATACATACGATTCATTACCAGAAACATACGATCCTTACTAATTTGGTGACCTGCGCCTGGATCACGTGACCTCCGCGGCAAATTCAAGATGTCGGACTGTAGCGAAGGTTTGTGTATAATAAAATTCATTTCTTCATAGAATATCTTGGTTTTTAAGGACTTCAAGGGCTTATCCCGTCCTGCTAAACACCAGGAACCTCAACCTGCACTTATGTGGGCTTCCTCGGCAACATTTTAGTCTGTATTTTAAGCCAAATAGCAGGGCGAGACTGAGACTCGGTGATCCAGGCGCAGGTCACCAAATTAGTAAGGATCGTATGTTTCCGTGTAATGGATCGTATGTATTCCGTAAGGATCGTATGTTTCCGTGTAATGGATCGAATGTATCCCGTAAGGATCGTATGTTTCTGGTAATGGATCGTATGTATTCCGTAAAATTAGTATGTTTCCAAGTAGTGGATCGTATATATTCTGTAAAATTCGTATGAATTCCGTAAAATTCGTATGTATTCCGTAAAATTCGTATGAATTCTTTCCCACCCCTGTGATTGGAAAAAGAAATTCTTGTTCTGACTCAACTCCAAAAGGCCCTAGCATTATGTTAACAGTAAGTTGAAAGAAAGTACTTGTCTTCATAGTTGTTATAATACAGTTTTTCGATTTATCAATTCAGTGGTTTGACTTAAAGTTCAAAATTCATTATTTGAATTACAAACCAGTCTGGTATGTCGATCTCTTTTATACAATGCCTGTTCTTTTGTTCTTTTTTTTCCCTGTCGCTTCATTTTTTTTCTGAAAAATCTGAGAACCAATTGTTATATCGGCTGGGATTGAAACCTCCTTGGCAGATTTGCTTTCTGTACTTCCTCAGCTGGTTTGAGGATCAAACACTTCAGAAGACAAAAACTTGAGTGTTGTTGTCAGGACACGTGAACATGTGGCTGTCGATACACCAAATCTGTCCGCCAAATCTTCATTCAGAAGGCCGAGTCTGAGCTTCATAAGGGTCATCAGCAGTAGGTCCCTCCCACCCAGCTTCCGTGCTGGACCAAACTTCCTTGGCGACTTCGTGAACCTGCGAACGCCCTTCGGAAGGCCACTAGGTCCTCTCCAGAAACGGATTCGTTGGAGTTTGGGAGCTATATGACTATAGAGCTCCTCAAATGCTTTTCGGTTTCGCAACCCCGTGTAGAATAGTACTTTACTGTCTTTCAATAGCTTGTTATGACTGAACTGACTTTGAGATTTGAGTTTCAGTTTAAGACCTACAACATCCAGTTGAAGTCGGGTATTCATCTGTTTGAGCCTTTTAATCTGGGCATCTTTGGTACTGCAACATTCACATGTTTTACACTCTTGTTTCTGTGAAACATCATAGTCGTGGTCATGATTTACATGTATATGACCGGGAAAGCTGCTGACACTGGTGTCTGTGCTATTCTCTTCTGTTGTGCTATTCTTGGCAAGCACCTTTTTGGTAGTAGTGTCCACAAGTCGGCGAGGTGTAGGCGCCTTCCTTGGTTTTGGCGTACTGGAAGTATTGAGAGTACCCATGTGCAGTGTTGGGTATGGGTTCGCCTGTGTGGGTTCACTGTCCACAAAGTGTATGGAACAAATACGAGAGTCAGCATTTGGGACCCAGATTTTGTTTCTGTTGGTCTCACTCTTACGGCAGACGAGTCGGATCCATTTCTGTCTGGCATCAGGGTCCTTCCTTTGTGTGGGAAAGGGCAGCAATCTGAACGGTTCTGGGCAAATGCAAGAGCGATGGAGTCTTTGATGAATGCTACAGACCGTTTCCCTCCACTTTTTTAATTTCCTGCCACTGTTGTGGCATTCATACACGGAGCACTGCCTCGTAGACATCGCAACAGTCTGAAAAATACAATTAAAAATAGGTACATGTATAAGCAAAGTCATGACAATCATGTGGCTGATAAGTGAAATCTGAAACATTATTATTATCCTTGAACAAGTAAAATTTGAGATTTTATACCTCCGGGCTTTTTATTGTATATTTCTATATGTTGTTTACAACAACAATTTTTGCGCGCCGCAGGACTAGGGTTTTAAATAAAGAATTTATCGAGACCGGACACCCCTATGTGCGAGGGGTCACCTTCGTGGACGAGACCGACAATACCTAATACACGCCAAAGGTCAACGGTCGCGACCACTTTCACGCTCAAAGGGGTGTTCTGGGGCCACCAAAAGGCACAATTTTCACGCCCGAAAACACATATACAATAAAAACAAAAGAACGTGCATTATCTGCAGCCCAATAGCAAAACATATACCGAGTCTCGAAAGAATCCGTCCACCCAAACGTGAGAAACAGCTGCGAACATGAAAATCTAAATCTCTCACAAAACCCTTCCGCGGAAGGATGTCTCCTCCCCCGGAGGCAACAACACTATAGCAGGTTCTGATGGCAGCAGTGCTAGTACCAATGATTATAGATCATTGTAACAGAATTTACATGTTTGTTTGCTGATTACAACATGTTCTGCAAACAGGTTCACTGCTTGAAAATGTATGTTCCATAACACAAAGATCTAATTGGTTATGCAGTTTTTAAGTGAAGTTGATTGCTTTCATATGCATGCTAAAAATTAAATCTTAAATCATTTTGTGGTAAATTGTCAGATTCCAGACCGATGAACTCAACACGGAAGTGGCTCTTCCAGCCTCCGGAAGACAGACATCAGCAACAGGGACAGACTGGCCAAGTCCCTTTGACGAACCGTACCAGAAGCTGTCCTGTTTACAGCCCTGGAGAAGCAAGCACACGAGGAAAACGTTGAGTCTGGACAGCCTCTGTCACCTCAGCATCTTTTTATGGATGCTATGGCAAAGCCATACACCCAAGATTCTACAACCGAGTTCATCTCCTCCTTAGTCAACAGTAAAGATGACGTTAGTGATGCATACCGGTTCACTGGACTTGGATCCGGACTTGTAAGAATGTTTAGGTTCAAGTCCAAAAAAAACTAAAAGTCAAGAAGCGAGTCCGGACTTATTACCATAAAAGACCATTTCACATACTTCTTTTCTTTCTAAACCACCTAAAACCTACCGTAGATTGCAAAATCTTTGCTGCAAAATGAAGAAAACATTGCCATTGGGCATCGTCAAGTACCAGCCTCCATGTTATGTGGCCAAAGTTTCACCCAGACAACATTTCAAGGTTGCCAACATGCAATTTTGTATATGCCATGAGTTTACGTCCGGACTTGCAAGTCCGGAACTGAACCTAAACCTCTGGACTTGAATCCGGACCTGAACCTAAATGCGGGTTTAGGTATGCACCACTAGATGACGTGGCCGTCCTCGAAAAGGCTACCAGAGGTCAATCCAGTTCTCCCATCTGGACCATGGCCCGCAGGGGAAGACTGACAGCTTCCAATTTTTACAGCAAAATATACCAAAGTTCAATCCATCAAGAAGAGGCCTGGCACATCAGCAGACGCTCTACTGGGAAAACTCATGGGGTACACGCGTACCAGCGAGACACTGACCGCCATCAAATATGGTCGAGAAATGGAGGCTGATGCCAAACAAGCACTGTTTGAAGTCTTTGACAAAGAACATCAAGAAGCATGTTGTGAACCTGTAGGTCTTGTGCTCTCTGAACAAAGAGCATTCCTGGGTGCCTCCCCTGATGCAGTGTTGAGCTGCAAGTGTCACGGCCAAAGAGTGGCTGAGCTAAAATGCCCTATGTCATGCAAGGATACTGCTCCAAGTCCAACCATCCTGCCATATCTGTATGAAAGTGGTGATGGACTGAAGCTAAAAACAAACCATGGCTACTATGCCCAGTACCAAGGACAAATGGCACTTACAGGCTACAAGTTGTGCAGCTTCTACGTGTACAGTCCACATGGCAGCATTCACATCGATCCCTGTGAAGTTTAACAAGACATATTGGGAGGAGATTAGGGATGCGCTCGACTACTTCTTCAAAGAGTATGTGGCTCCTGAGCTGCTGACAGGAAGGCTCAAACGGGAGCTTGATGCCGTTGCCAGTGGTGAAGTAGCAACCAGCAGCACAAACCACAATACACCAAGTACCTCCAGTGCGGTGCCTGGCACTGCTGACACTAGCCATGGTCTTATTCCAACATTTGATGGAATCAACCTCTGCCAAACTGTGTCACCCTTGGCGAATTCCAGTACTGCCACAGTCTCAGTGCTAAGTCCCGTCATTTGCCCCATTTGTGCTCATCCATGCCTTGAAGTTGAACAGTGTTCAAGGTTCACTGAAGGTAGTGTTGGGTGTGACACCTGCAACATGTGGGACCATCTCACATGTGTTGGTATCCAAAACGATCAGCAGGTGGATAATCTCCCTACTCTCTGGCAGTGTTCTGCTTGTGCGCATGGTCTAAACAAGATCAATCCCTCACTCAGTTCAAAAGTAGATATGTATAATAGTTTTACTAATGCAGTCAGGAACTTACCAGTTTCCACTTTCCACAGACTCCAGTTTCATGTAAAACTGTAGCCGGTGCAGTTGTGACAGCTCAGATACTGTGGAAGAGAAAACAGATTGATGTAAATACATGTATTATGAAATCGTAAATGAATGTAATGGATTGAGCAAAATGCTATTGGCATTATTGTTGCATATACTAGTATACTACTAAGGCCACACCAATTTAATTTCTTGGTTAACGGATTCGCCTCTTCATTTTTTTCTGATTTGCAAATAAAAATAAAAATTCAGAATCAACTGCAAAATGCTCATATTTTGCCCTGAACAGTTGAAAACAGTTCTTTTCTTATTACTTGTTACAGTCATTCCATCTTTCAATGCAGTGCTACCATTAAAAGTTCAAAATCCATTGTTTAAATTTTGAACCTGAGCCTGGTGTGTTGACTTAATGGCTCCTATCGTACCATTTTGGGCCATTTTGGATGCCTAGGCCTGTTTTTATTTTCATTTTTTTTTCGCCCGCCCGCTCCATTATTTTTCTAGAAAAATCCGTTAACCAAGAAAT